ACGTATTTTAACAGATTTTGTTATCTTACTTTTTATTGGTTATATAATTCTATGGATTATAATTATTTATACAAGACAGTGTAGATTCAGTTCCTGTGTTAAGCCCGTATAACTTATTCTAGCTTCTGAACAGGTCAATTTATCTGTTCGTCTTGAGTCACCTTGTTAATTATTCAGCTATCAACCCTGATTGTTTTTACATGAACGCATGTGTGTGTACACTTCTTATCCTATTCATCACATATCTGTAATTTATTTTTGTGTGACTATAAATATTGCTTAACCCTTGATTAAATGGAGTTGGGCTTACCAGCCTTCTCCACTGCGTGTCATTTCGCTTCTCTCTCTTCTATTCGCTCCATCACTCTTATTTCCTGTCCAGATCAGTGAGTGTACAAAATTCATTCGCGTATCTGGCTTATTTATTACCGTTATTCACCAACGCTATTTAAGTCGGTCAAATATACGAGGATAGCCAGGATGTATATTTTGGCAACAATCACTCATATGATTATAAATGGAGTCAGATCCCGAGCCCCTGAAACATTTCATTATCCTTGTTTTATAAACTGCTGTCACCTGTTTTCATATTTTTCATAGATCCATGTGGATAATACTGTTCCATTAAAGTAAATCCTAACGAAGTTCTAGTTAAAAACAAGAATCCTCTTGTTATATTAAACTATCATTTTTTGTATATATAATTTATGAAATCAATAGTTTAAAATCCGCTAACTAACAAATTTGGCAAAATCACTGCATTATATATTTTGCTCCTATTTCATAGGCTTATCCAGGTTGTCTATAAAAATATAAGAAAAGGAGTGTTTCATGGTTGAAGAGTGAAGCGGTCGTCGCCCCCATCTCAGATTATGTAATTTACAAAACAGTTTTCTGTATAGTAGCCTGCTTCTTATTGGTTTCTGTTACGGCTTTAAGTTGGGGTCGATTTTTACCCTGTGCTAATTGTCGTGTCCTTGACTGGAAAATTAGAGAGCAGCATACTTATCGATCGACTACAGTGACACGTAAACACGAACGAATGGCCTACAGTTCTGATTGGTCCTGCTTCCCTGTCCAGCCCAGCCAGTTGAGTCCAGAACACAAGCCACAGCCTCTGAGATATGAATCATTATATTTCAAACATACTTTGTTTATATACCAACCAAGCATACCACATCGTACCATAAAAATAGAAAACAACATTTTGTACAATATTCAACAAGTGAGCAGGTATCGACCAATAGGAAATATCCATTTAAAGTCCAAGGACACCATTGGACTTAATATGATAATTATTGGTCTATTCCTCCGCATCCACAACAGTTTCGAAATATCAGCTGTCATCGTACTACGTCTATTATTCTAGAATTCTGAAGGACCAACTCTCAAGGGAAAAATTGGTTACTATTCGGGACTCAATTTCTCATAGATCACATCCTCAGCGTTCACTGAATGGCGGAATACCCTCACATCTATTGAAGGTCAGCAGTCGCCTGGGACCCTAACCGAGCATAAAGCACTAGACATCGAAATTAGCCAATTTATCAGAAATAAGAGAACGGATTAACAACTGCAAAGTTACAATCCGGGTCAGGAGAGAAAGCATCCGAAAAAACACAATAGACGACCGTACAGGTACGCATAGCAACCAATCAAATCCCAGGTCAACAGAACAAGCCGTTAGTCAATGGTAGAGAGATCCCAATGACTCTGTTTGAAGTACGTGTCGATTATGTTGTTCAGAACAATGAAAGGTTCACAATCAATCCACCCAGCTCGTAGATCACAAGTCTAATAGTGTTTGTTAAGTTCATTGTGTAGGCTTTACACACAAACACATCAGACAGAATTGTGGTATACAGCCATCTTTCCAATGTTCCAATCAAGAATGAGCTAATCAGTCACCCGATTGCAGCATTACTTTTCAGTTTTACTATCGATGACATTCTGCAAATTGCTCTGAAAGTTCGTGGATGTGCATCTGTTGTCGGCAAAAATACTCCTATCTTGGGTAAGCGACCGACTTTTCTTAGTTGTGTGATAATAAACGAACAATTAATGTTCGAAAATGTCTACATTACACTTTTGAAATGAAGAGTATTTCTACAAGACTGATATGAACCTCTGTGTGCACTTACATTTCTCAATCATAGTCGAAAAAATCACATATTTGAATTATTGTGAGTGGTGATCGCAGATAAGATCAATCAACAACTAGGTCATGTCAGTGACTTATCGATAAGGATTTAACTGTCACATAGAAACAAGTAAATGAACTCGGAACTAGTCGCAGACCCAAAAACAATTAGCTAGTCATATCAAACTTAATACCAGATTCCAAACATGATTTGGAAGGTTTTGAAGTGATAATGCCTAAATTTCAGACTACGAATAAAAGACCCAGAAACATTAAAACTATTAAGTTACAGGTTTGTTTAGAAGATACATGGAGTTTCCTTTATGTTCAGTCGATGAAAATATCGATTGTCACCAAGTTGCACATATCCTTGCTGTTTGATTTTGTCAAAGCATTACTTTCTCTTCGATTTTTTTGTCCACTAGACTAGCGTTATTTAGCAGACTATTATCTGGTCGTTGGAAGAATACCTAAACTTCATAGGATTGTGACCTACTAACATTTCTAACTAAAATAGGTGAGTGACTGGTTAAGTTTGTAAGTAGATAAACTTTATCAACTAAAATAGGTAACAAGGCGTATGCATATACACAGTCAACGGTTACTAGATAATGTATAGGACCATACTAGGAAGTTGAAACCGTATTGCCATTGGATATCAAGACATCTTCCCACCATCATCGTCAGAAGTTCATACTGTTAATCCGCATTGTAAGGGTTGCGCGTTCAGCCTCATTGATTGTTTCAGAGAACTCAATTCCCTTCAGTATTTTTTGTACTACCTTATCTTCCAAGTTGCGAGTACTTGCTAAAACAGTTGATAAACCTTTGATTCTACAATGTAAGTAGACATTCTTTACAAATGCGAAACTAGAAATTCTTCGCTGGCCATCAACAAGTATATCAGCCAACTTAAAAATGTAGGCTGGATAGTTGCTAACCATTTAAAATTAAGTTCGGAATACATACAAAAGCCAAGAGGATAAACAACATTCGATAAATGACGACCCATATAAACTTATCCATTCCTTCGCTCCCCAATAGTTTTATTTTTACTGCTGGCTCCGATCCTAAACACTTTTTTCTCACGCTTCATTTGGGTTTACGAACTATCATTCCTGCTCCGCTAAGACTGCAATTCAAACTATATACCAAATCCCCCAACGTCCTAACCTTATGTGAAATCGGATAACAGGCTTCATTAACTAGAACTCGTGAACCTTGTACCATTGACAAATGCTGCATCTCCAAAACAGGGTTTAAGTGGGGCCATTCATTCGACCTCATCTAGTCAATATAGAGAACCAGTGAGACTTATCCTTCATGTCGAGAAAGATGAGTTTACGGGGAAGTTTCTGACCTCCGTCGGAAAGTGATTGTAGCAGGTGATGTTAATGTCTGAGTAGGTAGGTTATATCAAAACGAGAGACACTTAATTGATTCTGTGACAACTGTCCGCTCCGGTCATGATTAGACAACCGTCTTTTCCAGCAAGTATCAATTATAAGGACAAGGCGAAGCAACGTCTGACACGACCTGCTCAGTCAATGATGGACACAAGTAGACGATATCACCACTAAACACCATTGAAGAGATTGGACAGGTTGTCGTTTTTTTCTGGTACACATGTTTGGTCTCTGTTCATGAGTACGGGCACATATTTACCTGTTATATTGTAATTAAAATAACCACAGCATTATGACCCCTTATGGTTCCTCGATGAAGAATCCAAGAGTATACTTCAGAAACAAGCATTTAGTCGACCATTAAAACAAGTCATAGCGACACAACATGGGATGATATCAAGAGAGACATAACACCAACCAGTGACTTGACCCTGAAGGGCAAGAAAGACCGGTACATGTCACCAGCAACGGTAGATGGGTAGAAACTCATCCTGTGAAGCTTTGAACACGAAAAGGTAACCAAGAAACTGACAAAAAGTATGTGGAGCCACCTTAAGGAGTAATGGAAATGAAGCAGATAGAAAAACTAGCGACTACAATCGACATATCTGTTTATACTTTTCGGAGAAAAAAGTACTTGGAAAAAAGACGATGACAAGGGTTTGGAGCGATGGGCAGAACACTTCAAGGAACAGCTCGACAGAAATCCGAGCACCTTCGATTTCCACATAACTTGAGTGATTGACACATCTGACGCTTAAATTAGGCCCAGTGGAAGAAAACCCAATCATTATGAACAACCCGAGTAACAATGTTAAGGATAGTAATAAATATATTTTTATATCCCAAGTGGAAAAATTTTATCTCTGACGTTTCGGGACCTAATATAAGCCACTTCTTCGGAGTAAATAAAATGTTGAGGGTGTTTTCTGCCTTCTGAACGTAAACTTATACCTTAATGTTGATACGCGCCAACCGTCAGACTAATGACAAGTAGTGACGTAGTCGATCGCACCGACGACCTCAGAAATCATGTTGGGACGGTATCTAAGAGATTCTATGCACTAATTTGAAAAATCTACCTATGGATTAAGATATCTATTAACTGAACAGAGAATGAACTGCAAAATAGACCTCCGTATTACTGTATGATTGTGGCATTTCATAATAGTAATTTAAAGTTGCACGCTTTGATCGTAGGTGTTACGTTGTATCATCTTCAATACTATTATCTCGGTTCTTCTTGTACCTTGCTGATTTCATCTTGACGTTGCGATGCGATATAGTAACTCGGGCTGACCCATATTTGTGCTGGACTTTCAGTTATAACTGAGGCTCTAGAAAATGTTGCTAGCAATATTTGACAGGTTAATATGAATGGTTTTTAAGTAGCGTAAAAGGAGCCTAAGCGGTAATGATAAAGAGTTGAAAGAAAAAAAAAGATCTTGAAAATTACCAAGCGCAACTTATTTATTTAAATCATAGCTTTAAGTAATCGATTTATGTAGGTTTCTCGGTTGCCAAAATCACCACCTTCGACAAAGTGCTTTCCTTTCTTGCGAAAACCACCACTAGGATTGTTCAACTTGAATGTCCATAGAAAAGCAACAGCATGTTTGAAGTTTGGTCCAACTGTATATATTTCATGTACAAGGTCCTCAACGCATATTAAACCAAGATGTCCAAGTTTGTGTTCAATTAGCTCATTTGTTAAAGGGAGCCGTGTACCATGGTACTTACAAAATCCGCGTTTATAAATGAGTTGACGAATAATTTTAAGACTAGGGTAACCCCAAGCGACGTATGGGTCAATTATTCGAAGCATGTTAAGAGTTGCCTGTACGATAATGATAAACAAAAAGCAGGAACTACCTTATTTAATCGCACAAACATCCCGTTGTTGATTTGCCGAAGGCGAAACAGCTGCATGGTCTTTCTTGGGCGTGGGTGGACACCGTTAATACCCCGGATTCGCACGACAAATGCGAGTTTTGGTTCAGCTGGGACATAAAAGTCTCCCGTTTTTTTAGCATTACGCTGCAACGTGATTTCACGCTTTGCCATTCTGCGGTACTCCTGAAACAGTCATTATGTTACACAGAACTTACATGCATGTATTTTTCCGCTCGTTGCTTCATGAGACGTTTTAACCGCATAAAAGTTTGTCGACGTACCACCTTTTTGCGAGCCACTGTAATCAATTTCCGTCGTCTAATCTTTTCCTTCAAGCGGAGACCTTCTGGTTTCTTAGGTCTCTTGAGAGTAGCTGACTGAACATCAGTTTTCTTTCTAAATACGAACAAGAAATGTGGAGTTAGTGTAAGTAGCAAATCTATTTACAGAGCCAACGATTATTACTTCTGCAAACATCAAAATATCACAAGTAGTGACGATTAATTAGATAAGGCAAAATTCCGTTTTCAACTGAAAATGTACTGATCACACACCGTCTTATAATGCTTTCAATGCAGAAGTAAAACAAGCTATACATCACTGAATGACACCACGGTAATAAAACAATGAACTAACCACAAGAAATGTCACAACTGTCCATGGTGATGGCAATAAACCGGATGAGTCAGTATGCAATAACTTTGAAAAACAAGTCGATAGTTATTGTCTGTCGAATCTGATATAACTACTTAAACTACCAAGACTATTACAATTCAAAACACAGAAGACAAGGGTGTTTTGGAAAGACTTTAGATTTAGGTAAATAGCAGTGGACGAACAAGTGACTTCAGAGCTTGTAAGGTTGGAGAGGCAAATGACGTTAACGAGAATTGCGGTACAACTATTTGACTTATAGGGAAACTCAAGTTTTAAGTGTCAGGCAACATTACGGCTTGTTTGACTGAAACGTAGAAGTCATTACATAAGCCTGAGCAAGCCTCTCCGAACTCAATTTTATGTCCTCTTATTTAACGAAGAAATATTATTTGGAATAATTTCAATCACTAACTATTAATTAGGCTTGTTACTGATCACCCTGTACTTACAAACGACCTAGAAAATATTAGTAGAATCACACTGGGGAATAATTCTGTAGAAAATCTTTATGTGGACCCAACGTTTCGCCTGGCAATTTGGTTCAACCTCTTCCAATGAAATGGCCTTCAAATTCAATCACTGAGACAAATACGATTTTCTTCTTGAAAGTCTTACAGTAATTTGACACCCAACTACTCTGAAACTATTCGTCTTAATTTGGACGACAGCTTTTATGAATGGTAGCCATTACGTAACAGGACACAAGTGCAATCTAACGCAGCTACCGAAACACTTATCGTCTAACCCCAAGACTACGGGAAGGGATTGTAGGGGATGATTCGAATTCCTATGGTTGAATAAAAATCCGATAGTAGTTAGGTATCTTAACTATTTTCTTGGGATAATTCGAAACGCTTAATTAGAAACTGTTATAGGATTTATGTAACCGAATGTTACTTTGCAAGTTTTACTGTGGTGATTACCCGCGAAGGACAGAAACAAACATCAACTACATTAAAGCAGTGTGATGCTACATAGACTTACACGTCTGACATAATGCGCTCACGTTGTTACCTAACAGACGGTAAACTGTCACGCTGAAGATTCAAAGACACAAGCAGGCGCCAGCAGTTCAACTCTCAATCTTCGTTAAGTGGAATCAGTAAACAGAGTATTTCCTGAAATCCACATCTAAGATATCTTAACCCAATTTTAGCTACAAAAAAATAGGAATCTTCCAATAATAGTGAATAAACTGATTAGTATCTGCTCTTTAAACAGATATTTCAAATGTTTCAAATGGTTTTGAACGGAATAGGATAAGCTTCGCTTAACGAGCTTCCGTGTCTAGTATCAATGGATTACCAATACCTCCAGGCAGGAACCTAAGTACATTGTCGATAAGAGAGGAAAAAGAAATTGGTAATTCATAGTAACATACTATCCTTAGTCCTTAAGAATATGTCAAGTTTTCTCTTAAAGGACTCCCATGAGGTCGCTTTAACAGAAAATCCCGGCATTTGGCTACTTTTAGTCAGTAGAAGTTGTGTCGGCGGTCCGTCCTCTTGTGTTGCATCTCCAGTCTTTGAGTGTTACCCCTAATTTTTGTGTCGGAACTAAACATAAGTAAGTGTTTAAAAGGATATCCATGAGTATTTAAGATGCTGTAAGCTATTAGAAGGTCGGCTCTAAGACGCCTATACTCTAATGGGTAAAGGTTTAGTGATTGGAGGAGCTCTTCATAAGGCTTGAGTTTGAGTTCAGAGACTGATTTCGTGGCTCGTCCTTGAATACGTTCCAGAGTGTCCTTATCCTTGTGGAGTGAGGGAGGAAATACCATGTTTCCGAACTCTAAATGGGGATGAATAAAGCTGTTGAAGATTATGTGGAGCGTTCTTCCTTCAAACTGGCCAGAAATGCGCTCCAATTTTACCAGTGTAAGGTTTGCTCGAATGGCATTTCTGTCGCATTTGGCGTAAGACCTCAAATCACAGGGTACCAACACTTCTATACTCTTTCATTTTGAGATACCTCTGGGGGGGGAGTTGCCTAAGTTGTATCAGTAGTCTGCAAAATGTCTCAGATGGACTACTTAAAACTATGGAGTGTAATAGGTAAGTCCATTTTTCTCTGCCCAACTTTGAAGTGGAATCAGATTCTCCTGAATTGAAAGTTTATACACTTGGTTCCATATCTCTCTCCAAAGTTTCACGTCATCAGCAAAAAGCAGTAGGTCTGATGATAGAGATTATGAATACAGTGAACTTGAATGCTGTCAGAGGTATGAAGGTATTTATCACATCCCGGTTGCCCACACCGTGAAAGGGTTCTTCTGAAGGTGCCTGAAAAGGAAATTGGGTTAGGGGCACTCTTAGTGACCTGAGAGTGTGTCCGCAGTGCTCAAGGTACGACTGCCTGAGGTCGGTCACACACGACCTTTTTGTGAGTAGTTTTCGTGTTAGCTCCGTAATTATTGGAACCTTACCACCGGAGACGAATATCCTTAGGATAAGGCGAGATGTGCATTTTTAGGGTCGACCTTTACTCCTATGTAGTAAAGCTTTTCAATGCTTGTTGTTGACAAATTCATTATATTGCTTCAATGACCCATTTGTTCTATAATTTCAGTCATCTGATGTGATGCTCTCTCTATCCACGGGTTTAAATAATAGCAGTGTTCCTACTTTCACTGAGACTGATGTACGAAGATGTCTCCAGTCGCTTAATTCATCTCGATATTTGAGACCTGATGGTATCCCAAACATCCTTTTTAAAAAGTGTGCTGACGTTCTATGTTATCCGTTCACAGCTATCTTTAACAGATCCTTCTCATCTAATCTCATACCGAAAATGTGGAGAAAGATGAAGATAATCCCTGTACCCAAGAAAGCATCTGGTGATAAGAATGTAAAATTTAGACCTATTGCAATAGTTTCACCCTTCCTCAAACCAATGGAAAAATTATTAATACTTCCACTTCAGCCTGCGATAGAAAACCATATTGATCCATATGAGTTTGCCTACAGACGCAAAAGAAGTACTTTAGATGCTCTTGCTGTTCTGCATCACAACATAGTGTTGAACTAAGAAAAGGGTCAGAAGTATGTTCAATGTGCTTTTCTGGACTATACTTCAGCTTTTGATCCTATACCAATACAACGTTTAATTAACAAGTTAATCAGCGTCAACACTGACAGCTGGATAACCAACTGGCTATGTTTCTACCTCTCTGGAAGGGAACAGTACACTGTGTTTGGAGGAAAGAGTTCAGAGTCTCTACTGTCTCATGAAGGTGTACCACAAGGAGCTGTTCTTTCACCTCTTCTTTTCTCTTTTTTTCTGCATGACCTGCCATCTTCTACAGAAAACACTTTTGTGAAATGTGCGGATGATCTCACTGTATGTATGCCTATCTCTTCCTCTTTACATTCCATAGAAATTAATGAGTTTTTGTCTCGTATTGATTGGTGGTCTGTTGGTAATGGTCTCATACTTAATCCGTCTAAATGTCAAGCTGTTAACTTTAGCATGAGACATGAACGGAATCTAAACACTATTTTGAGATCCCATAATGCTTGTACCATAGGAGACTCTTTGATAAACTCTGTGTCGAAGGTCAATTATCTTGGTATCACCTTTTCCTTTGATCTATCTTGGTCTTCCCACGCTTTATTGTTATCAAAGAAGATTTTCCGTCTGACCTGCTACATAAAGAGATTGCATGCTTTTGGGATTACTCGTCATTTACTCTTACAATTTGTCAATTCTTGCATATTACCTATTATTCTTTACTGTTCCCCATATTCTTTCCCGGGCTTTTGAGGAAAGACTTTGCGAAGAGTGCTGAAGGCAGTTAGCAAGATGTGTGGTGAATCTTTCGAGGTCATAATTAATATGGTTGTGAATAGACATTTAAAATCATGCAAACTCCTGGCAGGTGTTATTTTATCAGATACTAGTCATCCCCTTCACTCTTATCTTTCTCCTTGTATATCTTCTGGTAGAACGAGACGTAATTACATTAAAATCCACGCATGCAAGCAAAAGTATAAAAGTTCTATAATACCTTACCTAGCAAACATACTCTGTGACGAACAGGTTGTTAAAGTTAACCTAGTCAATAACTTGCATTCTTAACATGTCCTTAAATTTAAAAGTTGTACAGTTTTTCGATTTTTTTCTTTTGTTTTTAAAAACCTTTTCCACTTTTTTGTATTCGTTACCGTGTTTTTGTTGTTGTTGCGTAAGTAACTTGTTGAAACAACCTGTGCTGAGAATTCTATATTGTACCGAAATATAATATTGAATAAAGCCGTTATTAATAATAATAATAATGGTTGTGGGTCTTTGATGTAATTTCTCAGATGCAGGAGTCTCGAAGTATAAAGTGACTGAACTGGAGGTTCTTGTATTTTACAAGTGGATTAGTTTACAACCTCAGGTGATAATTACATCGCTAGGTGTTTGTTAGATTAATCTTTAGCAAACACAAAACCATAAATGGAAAGTGAGTATACTATTGTGAATAGAAATACGATGAAAAATATCCTACAAAATATTCGGACAGGAACCAGCCATGCGTACATAGCAAATTGTCTAAAGTAACTGGTTTACTATTTAATTTTGAGGAGACGTTCGAAAATCGCAATCATTACTTCCTAACGCCACATCTTCCGTCATGACAAAGTTTCTTTTCTGACCCGCAACTCCACATCTAGCATATCATTCAGCATTAAGGTTGACTTCATTCTTACTGAGGGCATCGGTCCCGGATCACAGTACAACCTATCGGTGGATGTTCTCTCGGCTCTGTGTGAGATATTTAAAATTCGTGTAGGACCTTAACCAGGAAGTTGTTTCGATGGTTTGGTTACAACGTTTACTACACTGATGGTGGAGAAAAGTGCACTACATCGACCTTAGTAAGCTTCGTCATTTAATAAGGAGAAGTAGAAAACAGAATGCTTATGTCAAATCTAGATGTAAATAACTCTACGTCCTTATTCTGTCCTTTCTAAACCAACACTAAGAAAGCGGTTGACTCTTATCTGCCTTCCTTAGTCTGCTTAAGTCTCATACTACGCAAAATCAGAATAAAATTGAATCCATTCCTCCTTCTGGTAATCACTGCTATCTTCCTTGCTTGGATTTGGATACTTTCATTAAAACGTAATTCCTTGCCACCATCATCCAGTTTTGATATGATCGTGACATCTTCATAATTTTGGGAAAACTTTGCCCAATATCATTCATTTGCGATAGTCTGTATTTTTCCATCCCGTACTTCAAATTTTCTGACTGGTTATTTCGCTCCCAATCTTCAAAAAGTTGATGATAATGGAATGGGTTTTCGACTGAATCGCCACGATTCACTAGTTTGCATGAGCGTAGTCTCAATCGTATTTCTACCACTAAACCAGGTGCTTCATGTTTCACTACCACTAGAGTTATAGCACCTCCAAAAGAAAACACCCTGCTGCTTATCATAGTAGTTGGATAGAGGATTGTGCCTGTGGCAAAAATTCTGTACCATTTAAACCATCGCAAGTCTCTGATTAATGGAAGGTTGGATCTCCCCAGTTAATACGTGACTAAAACCAGTCTTTATGGAACCACATGTCGCACTCAAACTGGCCTTCTTAAGTATTCGCACACTAATCCATATCGGACAACAGAAAGTTTTGGCCATGTCGTTAGAAAGTTTTGACACAAATGTCTGTTAACGATTGAAAACTCGTATTTTAGACTCAAATGAAGTACTGAATATTCTCTCTTCATCTCTCGATTCAAAAGCTTGCTTTATATAAGTTTATCCGATAGTCCCGTGTGTTCCTAGTCTGGTTTCATTGGTGTTATTCCAGCATTGAGAGCCGGAGAAGAGTTAGTACTAATCGACTGGATCCAACTTAACAGTCAACTATGTACTGCTATGTTAGATTGCTCTCTTGACTAAATATGAGGAACGATACCTCGCATTAAGCTTCACCTACGCCTCGACATGCCGTAATACATATACAATCAGGGGTAATTTCTACCACCAGTTAAGTGATCTCACGAATCCTCTTTCAAAAGCAAAGTGCTGCTGGGAGATCTGAATGTGTAGGTTGACCATCCAGACATAAAGATTGGTCACTTAAGTGAGAAATGGGGACCCCCTGCTCTCGGATTGGATAACGACTGTCAGTCTATGGCTAGAACCGGCGCTTTGTACACCCACCTGCGATGTGTTACCTCTCCCTCTTCTTCTTATAATTCAAGCCTGGATTTAAATTGATCATATCGTGATCAGCTGCTGCTAACGTGGTTGTGTAAAAGAATGCCTTTCCTGTTGAACCACTTCGCCATCTACGACATTTTCTAAACGAATTTGATGAAAGCAAATAACAACAGTTTTGAGGTTACCCCAAGAGTATTCTACACTGAGTATGGGAATGATATTTTATTACTACGAAGAGATATACAAGCTGTACGATCCATACTTAACTAGTCGGCAGTCAGTTTTCTTAGGTTTGCCAGGTGCTTTGCATCCCCTAAGTGAAAGGCACTTATATAAATTCGGCAAATGCCTGTCTTCCTAACTAACCTTGGTAGTCAGCAAGTAGAGGCAGTCCAGAAGTCTATGCATTTGGGTTGTTGTGCGGGTGCCGATAGTTGCTTACCAAATGAAACTAGTTTACATGTAGAGAAATCCAGAGTGTCTGTAGCAATTCGGGACACCTTTAGCGTCTTTCTGATATTAATCAGGCTGTAAAGAGTTAGATTTACTAGACACCAAATGGGAGCACCTTGGTTCTAAGCTTACACAACCTGGTCTCTCCTAGCTGTGGATGTAAAGCGACTTAGTATGTTTAGTCATCGCCGTGGTTGACATCCAGCCGCAACACTATTTGTGTAATGCCGAAGTTCATGGACGAATTATTATTCACAAACATCTTATGGGTACATAAGTGTGGTGACAATTTAACTAGTGTCATCAACACCGAGTTCGGCGGCTTGGACATATTCGACGAATGTCGTTCCCGATAATTCCACACCGCGAACTATCTACCGATGATGGGGCTGGTTGAACTTCAGAAAAGCGTGATTAGTTTGTTAATTGGTGTCGTATTATTTAGCATGAAAGAAAGTTGTACGGGTAATGGTGTCTGTATGTCCTGCACATCTCCTTGTTATGGATCCTAGAGATAATGCAACCCAATGGATCGAGACTTTATCAGACAAACTCAGAATAGAAGCAAGTGGTGGTCTTACTGTTATTTTTCTTTATGCTTTCACACAAGTGGGAGGAATTTCTCTAACAAAACGAGCTCATTTTGGTTGTATTTTTCTAAATAAAGTTGGTTCCCTCATTATTTTTTACTCTCACCCACCTATTTTGATTCAGTCTTTGTTTCTTTTGTTATGATCACATTCCCTTCTCCATCTTTTCGCTGTCTTATTTTCTGATTATTTTAAGTATACATATTTTGGTCACCCCACGAATCAATATTTACGTATTTGAATAATAAATATCATTTCAATAGTATTTATTTCAAAAATCTGTTTAGATAACAGATGGTAAGAGATTCGAGAAATAGAAATGCATCACGAACATTTCAATATTATAAAGTGTGACTTGATTTTCGTCAGCAATGTAAAAAATACAAACGGGTAAATAGATGTACATAGAAAATGTATATTTACAACAAAACGTACAGATGACTGTTAAGTCCAAGTTTTTGCTCGTCCCCGTTATTGAAGTATGGTATATCGATCTATTTGCAATTTACAAACCTAAATTAACAACAGAACCAAATTTCAATTTAGGTACCAAAGTTTATTCGCAATTTACAAACAATCGACCCAAATGTCGTTCTAACAATAATTATAACAATTACAAAACAAATCCTCAATTTTGTAGGTTCCCGGAGCAAAAACTCCCAAATACCAAACCAAAGACAAAAGAAAGCAAAATGTCCGAAAATAGTGATATAAACAAGCAAGTTCAGAACTTGAGTAAAACAGATACATCCAAAAAGACAGTAAAACTACTAATATACAATATAAAGGTTTTAATCAGGCAAATGTCTTCAGCTCTCTGGTAACAATGACAACTAATAGATAAGGACGAAGCATATAAAATGACTAGTGAGATCAGTTTGAGTTAGGTCTAAAAGATGGAATAAGCTCTCACAGGCGTTATGATGAAGAGCTTCCACATGATCCTTAAATCTCTGAGACTACGCTTTAAAGTACACTTTTAAGTTTCAGTTTTGTTACCCACCATCAAAAGGGACAAAGAACGTTACTAAGACACACGAATCTCATGTCTTCGGTCCAATACTATGTCTTGTTCGGCTGTTGTCAATTACAGTCTTCTTGTTCTGCCTTTCTTGAACACTCTTCAGGGCTTCCATGGAGATTCATTATTTAAGGTGATGCTTCTTGCGGCTCAGTACCTCCTGATAATTTGAAGTTAATACTTCTTTGATCACTTTCCATTTGTGATCCATAGTCGTTTCTTCTTTCAGTAGATCTGGTAAGGGTTGGAACCTGTCATCAAGAGCTATCGTGGATTTCGATAATACAATGAGAAGACGAAGTTTATCAGAATTATGTGACATATTTGCACAATACATTTCGAACAATCTGATCACATATGTACAAGGGTGAAAGGAAAGCATTTAGGAGTTCTATACTTGAACAACTTATCGACTGTAATCATTCTACGAGTCCACAGTGTGATTTAAAGTCTGTTTATAAGATTCGTTTAAATCTGTCTAGATTTCTCAGTATATAACTCTCAAAAATAGCCGAAGCTCTCATCATCCATGAGCTTGAACCAGAACTATACGTACAAAAGAAGTATGTCTTATCGTTATCGTTACCTTGGCCTTAACTAATATTATTATTCTGTTATTATTATTATGACTACTGCATTCCCCTATACTTATGTCTTATATTTTCACTATTTTATTCATAAATAATCATCGTATCACCTTATTTATCTCACACTTCTATGACCTTTAATGACTTTTAATTACTGTAACATATATAGTTGTCAAGACATTTTTATATGAAAATTAAAAGGTTAACTAGACAAGTTAAAGGTAGATCCTATGAGGCTTGGAACTAGTTTTTGAGGGTTATCTTGAATTTATTGAGTCCGTCAGTATCGCAGGGAGGCTATATTGAACCTTTGTACCTCTGTTTCTCTGGTTATTCAGTGCTTCTTTAGCTTCAGTTTTATCGTAGACATAACCAGGTGGTTGTCGGAAGCCATATCAACTCCTCCCCAGGTCCCTACGTTTTCCATTGTCCTTCCGAATTTTTTATAGGTACAAATATGATCTATCTCGTTCTTCGTGGTGTGGTCTGGTGAGACCTATGTAGCTTTGTGTATACAAGTGTGTGGAAATACTGTGCCTCTTATAGACACTTTGTCGAATGCACATAAATTTGCAAATCTGTTACCATTCTCATTCGTTTCTACTAGTCAGTCTATATCGTCTCATAATATCTCCATACCCGGTGTTGTCCATTCCGACTTTGTCGATTAGGTCTCCCGTCAAGATGATCAGGTCTTTTCCTGTGCACTTCGCTATGATTGACTGCGGCCTCTCATAGAACTGATCTTTATTGTCGTTGTTGTTATCACTGATGGTTGTATAACATTGGATAACAATCACCGCGATTCCCTTCTTCTTTCTTTTGAAGGATGTTTTGATGATATCGGACCCGTGAGACTCCCATCCCATCTCCTTTGAATAGCACTAGAGTACCTATCTACATGTGAGGAGCACTTTTCAATATGTGAACAGTGAACAGCAGCAGCACTCTCGCACCAACCCTCTGCTGTCCAGCTTGGATCCAAATGGTTTCGCTGATTAACTAATTGTTGCTCTGGTTGTGAGAAAAGGCATCAGCCTCGTGGCACACGATGAATCTCCGCGTTCATAACTCTTCCTTCAATTCCCGAGTAAGAGCTTAAATGGCTTAATTTGTTTGTTCTGTCTAGCGGTTCTAGCAGGGTTATTTTCAACGACATAGGGTTGCCGATCCCATGCCCAACTCAGTAAAAGAACCTGAGCTGGCTATTGGCAGCAGTGAATGGTCTCAGTTAGACTACCACTGGAAGATTGTTTCGTCTTAGTATGGAACGCACGCAAGAACCGAATCCAAGAACTTTGGTCTCACGCGCAAGCGCTTATCCACTAGACCACTGAGTCGGCATCCAACGACGTTAATGTCTAACTTCAATCAATCCACAATATCGTGTGACCACCTTCTATTGTCTTCGGTCGGCAACTCCCTCACACCCAACACGGTTTGGCTACACTGGGCACGGCTTTTCACCAGAACTTTGAAATGTTTTTTTCAAAGCTAGTCACCAGTAACCACATGATAATTTTCAGTATGGGGTAGACGAGACTCTTGAAATCCATTGAACTTGCGAACCACCCGAAGGTCCTAGGTCACTTTCCCGTATATGTGACCGTGGATGCACGCTCCTGAGGCGTCTCATACTAGGGTTGAACGGACATCGTAATTCCAGTTTTCCAATGGTGGTCTAACTTAGATCGGTTCATCATTCCAATACGATATCTAGGTTGCACAGACAGGTTACTCTTAAAAATTCTACATTACCTCTTTCGTACTCTTAGAGAAGTTGAATATTTTTTATTTAAGCGTACTAATACTATTGCAACCTAACTTTTGTTTTATCACCTTTTCAATTCAACGCGATAATACTTGCTCCTTCGATTCAACACTATTTACACACTGAATTACATGTGGGATCAGTGAAATTCCATTGAGCCCTAGCCAAATCATCCGGCAGTTGGGTCATTGGATATCAAACAAGTCATCGATCCTCGTCAAGGTCAAGGAAAACCAACAGGTATCAGTTAATCGTACGCTATGGACTGGCCCATGTGGCAGTGGTTTTACTTTCGCGTGTATTCACTTTAATTAATATATTTCTGTAATAACGTCCTCTGTGTTGTACAGTCTTCAAAGCATCTGTGGTACATTGATACGTCAATGGGGTAGTCCACGTAGGGTGCTGACCACGAGGTGTGATTTCGACATTAGCTGGTTCGTCACTCCATTCCCGTCTAACTCGAGTAGGCCTCCGATCACTTGACATAGGTCATCTACGTTGGTGATCCACATACCCGTGCTTTGGTATGACAATTATTATTCTTAGTTCCTAGGTCACCAACGATACCTATAGCCAATGAAATATCAATTATTTCATATTCACTAGTGAGGTATTAAATCTCTTCGCCAATGACTCACCATATGAATATATCAGACCAACTGAGGTCAGGTAATTATTTATAGTAATCAGTATTTTGGAACTCATCCAACGTCATTCTTCTTGTTAAATCAGAAGTATAAACACTCCACAAGATCCCATTAGCCTGATTGACATGGAATATTCTGAGCAACAGTAGTTTTGTTCAGGTTAAACCATATAATGTGATATTCAACTATTAGTAAATCGCCAAAACAACAACATCAGATGCTTAATATTTGAACAGAATCGGTCTTCATTCTTCAAAAAATAAGCCTAATTATTCTCACTGTAGAAAGATCTCACCTACCTTTTTAGATAATGCATGAAGCATTCGGGCGCTCACTGCTGTTGTATGTGTACGCAACAAATTTTTCTCCGCTTCCTCTATTAGCCATGGTGACTGATAGCCTCGACTACCAAAAGCACCTTGACTATGTACAGTACGAACTTTATCAATGTAACAAGATTCAACTGTATTGTTGATATCTGAAATCTCAGGATCTACAGATGAAAATATAGTAATTATGGCCCATGAAGACAATAGAAATGAAGCTATAATCAAGTCGCAATTGATTTCAGAATTTACAATACAACAACACAAATTTTAAATAATCGCATTTTCCATATAGTATGCTGGTCATTATAAAACATAAATGACGTTAGTTTGGAGCTTCAATTAGTAATTGCCAGTCGGTTACAAGTTCGGCGAGAACACCAGCAAACTAAAACCAAACAAGTAATCCATTGAACTGTCGTAGAAAAAGAAACATAAACAAAGACCAACCGCAACAGCATCTCAAATTAAGTTTCATATTCCATTCCAACTGGTGTATTTAGTTCTAATAGCAAAGTACCAGTCACTGTTGACAATAAACAACAACAATCATACTCTAGTTAATCGGTTACATATGAGCACATACTTAACTTGTTAGTGGTATTCCTCGAAACACTGGCATACCAGTTGGTCAATCATCGTCTTTCGAAAAATATCGTTCATTTTGGATCAAACTTTTAATGATGTTGGTCAGTAAAATTAACAGATTAATACATAACATCAAACACATTACATAACTGAGTGAATAAATAAATGGGGGAACTGTCTACTAAGCTAAATATCTTTGTCAAGTAGAGACCCAAGACGAATATGATGCAATTATATCTCACAAGGCTTCCGACAGTTTAGAAACTGTCAGGTAATGAGTTCAAACACTTGAAGTCCATTTAAATCAGAACAAGGAGGGATGAGTGTCGTTAAAACTTGCGTACAGATACATTTCAATTATCCTTACAATGGAAATTGCAATTTTCATGAGTTGTGCATCAGAGACGATGAATAACTACTGTATTAGTCATTATTGCAAAGAACATCCAGTTGACAAACAACCTAATGTTTTGAATGACAAATATACTAAGTACAAGTTCCAAAAGTAACAATCATAGGAAGTAACAGATTCATATGAAATATTCACGTGAAACCGGGTGCTGAATGCGAAGTAGCCCTTAATTAGATAAGTAGCATGTAACAGACATGTAATAAAAAGCTCTATACAAAATGTAAAATTTGGTCACTAATTACACCGAACAAAAACTCTCACACAAAACAACTCAAAGCATTAACATCGCTTTGCAGGTTGAAATAACTGTGAATTTACGGCTTAAGAAACTTAGATGATGTATGTTAACATTTCCAGTGGTAGTATCACTCGCCAAATTATAATTATTATTATTATTATTATTATTATTATCATTGTTATTATTACCATATTGTACGTTCCATGTCCCAATTTCAATTGTTCCTTTTGATCTATAACTTTTCTGTATCTCTGCCACTATCATTCACATTGTTACTTCGGCACATTTTCTCTTTATCCTCTGTGATTATGAAAAGTGTGGTCAGATAGACCGACAAACATTTTGCCTAACTCGATATTGTTGGAAGATGACTAGCACTAATTGAATTCACTTTGACAATGGACTTTTGTCAATAATTAGAATATAAAAACAGTACTGCCCAACGAACAAACAGACCAACCATCCTACAGAAGATATTCACATAGACACAAAAAGACTAAATCATTCGACGCAAAAAGCCCATAGCAGGCTAATAATTTACCTGAAAGGAAAAATGTATCATGACAATCTCGAGCAGGATGTTGTTGTGGTTGAAAAAGACTATCGAAATTCCAAAAACTGCACTCAACATAATTGTTTGTAGGCATTTCTGAAAACCTGAAATGTTTAGGATGCGGAATGAATGTGATGAAGAGAAATGGAAAATCAGGTCTCTTAAAAACTAAGGTACCGTTGTAAAGTTTTCAAAACTTATGAGGGCTTTTGAGAATGCTTTTTCATTAAAAAGGCAACTCATGATGACTATGAAGTAAATAGTGGAAAATTACTTTTCAACCACATATCAACATGGAAAATATACATTTATTTCCATTAGTATTAACGGAATACTTGATGTGCACAAACGTGGCCTACCATGGCATAGGACTATGAGATCTCGTTCTTCACTGATATTGTTTTATTTGTTTTGAGAGAACTACAACTTGACAAAATGAGTAGTAAATGACGTCTAGTCTCTACGATCCTTCCTAGTCAGATTAGAGTAAATTGAAGACTACATGCTAGACCTACCTAACTTCGAAACACTGAACATGAATACTACATAAATATCTGCAAATAGTCTGCGCTGGCGATCAATGATACTTCTAGTTAAAGGATTTATAAGGTCCGACCGAATGGAGCTGTAGGTTAGGCGATTCCCTTTCAAATGTTCGATCAGAGCTTTTTAACCACCACTCACATTTACCATATTTCTTACAACTGACTAGTCAGTACCTTGGACATTAGTACAAAGGGTGACTTACAAGTTGATGTGTGTGCATCCATACTTCCCAACGCGATTTATTAGCACTACAACTACGTACTTAAGACAAGTAAGCTTTCAGAAAAATGAACCCAATGAAATTAACCCAGTAGTTGATAATTTTAAAATAATATTTATTAATGATTAACTAGTTCACAACTCACCATATATCGTGCGAGAAAATCGCGACATATTACTACTTACAAATTGGTAGTTGAGAATCAAGTATGCACAACACTAAGACTCAGTTACAAAACTACCCTTAAATGCAACATATATACCGAAGACAGATTGTTTTTTATTCTATTGAGATCAATCATTTGCGGACAACCACAAAAACACAAACAGCTGCGTTATAACGGAATATAACGTTTCATATCATTGGTTAAGTTATAATGTAAAACCGAGAAAAGTTCCAGAACACATTGGAGTGGATGGCACATTGATGAATTTTCGGTGGTCTTATGAACTATGCTAGCAAATTGAAATTCTATTTCACACGACACAAAATGATGTTGGAATAGTTGACATGTAGGAAGACAATTGCATTTCCTACTGAGGATTTCGGTATTTTAAAGCATGTTAATTTTATCAAATCAACGGTAAAATCACACTTATTTTGTTAAATACGTTCTGCAATGCCTAGGACAACGGGAGTGACACGCTGAAACTTAGAATGTAGATACAGCATATTGAAATATACCCAAAGGAAGTCAAACAAAATCTCCTATAATCATACAATCGTGACAATCGAAAAATGAATACGATTAGAGTACTAAATTAATAACCTTCAGTTAAAACATTCTCTATTAAGACACTACCACATATGAGTCCCTTTCAGTTGTCACAACATAGCAAGCACAATAAGACGAAATCATCGACATAAGTATAAGGGCACTAAAAGCAGTGAGAGTACTAGTGATAGTAGGAAAAGATTACCTATTACACTTATTTGAACATATAAACATCGGTACATAGGGGGGTCGAAATAAATATGCGCAACACAAATTAGTTATCATTCAACTTTTGTGTGGGCTGGAATACTTTCCGAGTGTCCAAACCGAAACAGGTGATTTCCTTAGAGATCCACTCTTCGAGACTTTGGTTTAGAGATCTAATGCACGATGCAGTCGGGCAACGTCAGGAGACCAGGTTCTATGGCGGCCGATGACCAAGAATAGGTTGCCACTTCACTTGTTCCCTGGGGATCCTAAAGCCAATGCGCATCACTGGTTTGGAATCAGAGTTTTCCAACCCACCTAGGTGGATCTCCGTGCCCACCAACCCGGTTTAAGTGCCGGACATTCTCTTTTCGTCCTTCCAATTTTGTAAACAATACCCCCGCTGCGAGAAGGAAGTGGTCAAATGAGAGAATTTCGAGGAGAGCGAACTCTTCACACTCACGACCGTACCAGGGCATTTGGAGGCATAAGAAAGACTATGTATTGACAATGTGATTCGGGAGGAATTCGTGGAGTCAAAAAACATAAAATATTTTTCGACCTTAGGATCTAGGGAGAAACGAAGAGTAAGTGTATTTGCACTATTTCGATCGCTTCCGAGACATCTCATCCAACATCTCTAGCAATTAGATAAGATAATCGTGTAGACCCTAATCTAGTAGTCCGCACATACGAACACGGCTCAAACAGTCAATCACTTTATGGACTCGTGCGAAATCTTGTTCTTGGCCGTCCCTAGCTTTGTCACATCTCAATCCAGCACCGACAAACGTCTATTGTTACGGCAAGAGGTAGTTGGAATACATAATAATATTCCGGTAGGTCCTGAAAAGTCATAAATGACAGTGTTAACTATAAAAGAATGTCCATGAAAAAATCGAATAAGAACGAGAAAAAGGGATAATGCAGCTATCATTATTGTTTCAGGAAAGCAAATATCGTTATTACCCTTCTTATTTTCTTTTCCTCTTTCTGGTTGTCCCTCTATGTGAATACAAGCCATGAGGACTTGCTATAACTGTGGGTATGACTGTGCTTTCTGTTTGTCCTCATAATGACATAATGGAACACATAGTTGCTTCTATCCTATGGGGTTGGGAGTGATAATAACCATTCTATGACATATTTTCTGAAGAGATGTAGTTTCTTGTCATCATCCACAATTCTCTGAGGGTGTCACATGCTTCTATTATTTCACGCTTTATTGATTGTTCAGAAGTCAAAACTAAAACACTGTACACAATTAAACTAACGTTGTACAGTTTCAGGCATGGTCATTTTGTTAAGAGCGTTCTGCAGTTCTGTAGGGCATGGATTTAGCTGTATATGAGGATTGCAAGCAGTCGAGTTGTTAATTTTAATGCGTGGAAATCCATAATTTGTATCACATTTTTCTAAACTCATTCAAGGAAGCATAAGTTTCAAAAATATTAGTGTATACTCATTTTTAGCTAAAGCATGGGACTATTTTGGTAGTGTAAGCCTTTTGTACCCAAGTTGATTCAGAATTCTTAGTGCCAAATAAGTACTGAGATGCCTACAACTAATACTAGGACAACATAAGAGGAACAACACTAAAGGAACTGTCTATTTGTACATTACAGGCTTTTTTATGATCTTATAAAGTTGTTTATTTGAAGAAAGAGGGATAGGTTTACGTAACTAGGAAACATATTCCTAATCCCAGCTGTGAAAGAATTCTTCCTTTTCTTGAATTTCAGGGCTAACGTAACCTAGCTACGATCTTTCCTCCCTTGTTTAATTCAACGATTAAAACCCAATGGACATTCAGAACCTGATTCTTCTTGAGTTAACGGGTGAAAGTTATTTTAAATCAGACAAATTGGCTGAAAAGCTTGGAGTCGATCATCAAGTAGTTGTTGGAGGAATAAAAAGTTTAGAAAACTATAGTGGGGTGCGTTCTTGAAAACGCTTATATATTTCGCTGTCTGTAGATAATAGATTGTAAAGATGTGGTCGAGGTTATTTTACAGTTAACAGATGAAGGTGATGAGATTCTAAACAGTGGTAGTCATGAGTACAGAGTATACTGTGCTATTCCAGAATCAGGGATACCACAAAGTGATATTTTGGTTTGTTACTGATCTCAAATTTACAATTTGATAGAAAATGTTTCCAGGTGCTAAAATAGGTATTAGCAAAGCCCTTTCGTCGAAGTGGGTATCACTAGTTAAAAATGAAGCTGGTGTACCTTATTTGTATCGTTTGGTAATTGTGTAATTAATTAAAAATATCATATTAGATTCCAGAAGTCAAGGATGATGTACAACATTTATTGTTAGATGTAAAAGAGTCTAAACGTCCTCTATCAGATAACGAGAAGTCCCAATTGAAAAAACGAAAACTAGTTACCGAATCGTATGCTAATCTTATTTTTATCACAATCGTAATTTTATAGAAAGCGCACATCCTACTTGGTACGAAAAGGCCCATCATTTTCAACAAATATAAGATCTGAAGAAACAGATTTATCATCTGAGTTGCTTTCCAGGTGAGGAATCGTAAAATTACAGTGTTTTTGCCTCTGTATTTTGTCAGATGTGGATCTTCTCAAGCCATATTATAATGACCTGGCACACTTGTGATTTCATACCTAACGGGATTTCACAAATACAAAATAAGATACTCACTTTTTGAAACCCAAATCAACCTAATTCATTTTTTGTATTGGTTGTTTGAATCTTCCCATTGATGTTTAGGACTGAAATAGACCAGTCTCTTATTGGCACATGTTCATTCTTTGTGGATTACCTTAAATCGGGAGCATTATAAGCACAAGTTAAGGGTTATCCAGACTCAGTGGATAAGTGGATAACGCGAACGGTTCTCTGTTCGAGTCTTGAAGTAAGCATCAACTCAGAGATGCAAGTACATCCAGATGCCGAGTCCCAAATAGGACGGAATGCGCATCCTGAATTTTACTGCTAGCCACCATCCATTTTTGCCAAATCAATTTTTTATGCCACTCGCAAATATGATACTAAAGGGTGTAAAAGTGTACTTTGAACACAGTCACAGTTCGACAGATTATTCTTATTATTCGTAATTAAGTAAGCTTTGTCAATGATCTCAACAATGTATATTAAGAAGTATACTATGTATATATTTCTATCCTGTTCGAGCAAACAATTATCTCATCTAGTTAATTACTCTGAAGACAAGTTTGTTAGTTATCCTTATTCATTTGCTTATAACACGTAAAGAAACTTCGGTACGACGAGTCATCAAGGTAATTATTTATTTAGTACACACAAATCTGGTACAACTGTGCAACAGGATAGAATGCGCTACACAAAATACGGAGATGACATTATGAAGAAAACAATTGAGTAAAATCGAAGAGAAAAGGTAAATACAAATAGTATATAGTGAAAAGTACAGTTGAGTTCATAAGACAACTGGGAGAAGCTTTTTTCTGTCGCGACAGATTCAAAGAAAAATACAACAAGATTGTCATTGGATTCTATTCTAAGCCATATCTGATAACGTCTCAGGCCGCCGAGTTGTACCATCTCCAAATACTGTGGTGCAACCAAGGACAGGAAATGTCTGTCCTCCATCGAAACGCTTCTATACTACCACCTCTCTTTGAATGACGTTCTGAAAACAGCCTTAAAGAAACTACGTAGTAATAGTGTGGATCGGTTTCCTAGAGAAAGACTTCTTGAGTATGCGGATGATATTGTTATATTGTGCAATAATACACAAGTTATGTAAATCGCACTTTATTGGCAAACGTTCAGTGTCTTTTAGAAATACATTACATTCTGAATGTATGAAAGACACACCAGTTAGATGTGGTTCATGCAACCTGTATCTCAGCCCACGAGTTTTATGACTACCATCGGAGAATATACTGATGCTCTACTTTGTTTCCCTGCATACTATATTCAGAACAACTTGGTTACATTTACACCGTCACTCATATATATGTTTTTATTCCGATTTTGTTTACGCTTCAATTCACTCAACGGCCCATTTATATCAAAAGTCCTGTCCCTTCCGAACGGTCTCAAGAAAAAACTCGACAAATATCGTAGTACTAACGGGAGTCTTGGATCCTCAGGTCGGGTGTTTTGGCTTAGGTGTGTTTTGCTTGGGTTCTAGTAGAGCTTGATGGTCACAATTCAAATGAAAATACTACTTTCTGTAGCTCTATGCAAACTACAGTCTGTTATTAGTTTTGGGCAACACTATCTAGGATTCTCAACATCATGAATTGTCGTCAGTGGTGTTGAAATATATTTAATCTCTCAGTAAAACATTTGATGGCCACAGGAATCAGTAGTGTATGTTAATTTAGTCGTCCTTGCAATATTTAGTTTAGTCCTGCTCCTAGTAGCATTGTATAGTTCTGCAGATGGTCTCACTTAGTATAATACAATCTAATCATATGGTCAGTAGCCTCGACACTCAAATCGGCTAACTTCAAAATCACCATCTTAGTGGTCCTACAATTTTCAATGAAAATTCCAAAGACATCTATAGTCGAGTACTCGTAATTCACACGTTTATGGGTTTTCAGTGGTTAGATTTAGCTGATGTAAAGTTTGACAGCAGATTTCTGCACAGCATATTCACTGTTTGGCAGTTTGATGATGAAAAGAAAGGATCGTACAACTTTGAGTACTGTAATCAGGTGCGTATAGTAATATTGTCTCAAGAATTCTTTGGTGTCTTTCGTAAGTAGTAGTTATCAGCGTTATGTTCACTTGGTTTTACTGTATTATTATACTTTGTGGAACTTTTGGTTTCTATTGTGCTCTAATTAAATAGCTGTGCCAAATCACACTAAAATTAATACGGTTGGTTAAAATTACCAATCTCCGTAGTAGTTTGATGTACTTGGTTAACTATATGTGTTCTTAAAGTCAATTAGTTTTCATCCTGCTTCTCCAGTCACAATCGGTTAAGGTAGATACTATTAGCAGTGAAATTAGATCCATTCGTCCAAAAGGATACTGTCATTTATTGCTAGCATCATATAAATAACTGGCTTGATGTACGTTGCTCTTAATTTTTCGAAAAATGTAATTATAAAGATTCAATTAACTCACCTGTGGAATATTCAGTTCAAGTCCCACTACACATAATTTAATCTGTAGCTCTGAAATAAGTGTGTCTGAAATCCCAGTACAAATAACTACTCTGTCACAAAGTGTTATTAACTTTATCATTGTTATTACCACTCCTATTCAAATTAATGTTTTGTTTTTATGTGGTCTGTTCATATATTTTCGGTAGTGGAGAATGGCAAACAGCTCAATTTAAGGCTTATAACTTTTACTCTCTTGGTGCCGCTTTACCATCTGGACATCTTCATCCACTTCTGCGTGTACGCTCAGAATTCTGTAGGATACTTTGTGATATGGGGTATGTTGCTCTTTTTTTGTTTTATCGTGATATATTTTTTTCATGAGTTTAAGTTGTACCTCTCAAATATGTGTGCTTGGTGTTCGTTTGACATTGGTTCATTACTTCTTGTTTAGTGAACATTTGATTAAGGAATTACTGTTGATTGTCAACTGTTAAATCTAAAAAAGATAAGGAGTATTTTAGTGAATAATTGTCTCTAATATCTTCAGGCCATAAATATAATGTTACATATACAATGTTGCATATACTAGTCATGGTTGAGTAAGTTGATGTGTTCAGTCAGTTTATCAATCACAACATATAGCCTGGTACGTATGTACATCGATTGGAGTTGCCGTACCCCTTAGCACAGAAAGATCAAATCGTCAGGTCAAATCCCAGAATCGTAGAGGTAGTAACAGTATCAGTGGTAATTAGAAAGATTAAGCGTCAACGACGCTTCTGAATTTTTGCCTGGATTTCTTGAGACACCAGATCATCAGTACTGATGAGAATCTCAAGATAAATGGAGCGGTTGATGAGTTCAACTACTTCACTCCCTATCATTAAAGTTAGTGCTGTTAGTTGGAAATGGTGCATTACACTTTGATCGTTTTCTAAATACACTAACAAAACACGTCATTATACCCTTCTTTTATAACTTCTTAACCTTACTGAAGACCTTTTCACATACCTAAATGTAATGAGTCCTTATCAGTAAATCAGATTGGTATCCAAAAAGTTAATACAAATTAGAATGATTGTTATCCCGTTAATAATAATACTAACAATATTTTTATTGCTATTATCATTATTATTATTATTCGTAGTAAAATTATTGTTGGAAATACGTCGAGAAATATTTTGTTACTAGGTTTCTCCTCACGTGTCAAACGTACTGATGGGAATGCATTATTAAATGAGATTCGAAGTTTGCGTTGACAAACTATTTTGTTGCATACATTTAGTGTGTCATATGCATAATAATGATAGTTTTAAATATTATTCTAAGTTTTGTAAAACGGTTCGTTCCCCAGTTTTGTTAGAAAAATATCCGTAAATATCGAACCTGCGGGAGATTCCATTCCTAATCTATCTGTCTAACTGTAAAGTTTATTGTTATATGTGGATTGGATATTCATTGTGCATTTGATTAGAAGCTCGTTCATGTTACCTTCCGGTATCAATATAACTATTTCTTCTCTGTTAGTTATTCGCTTATGTGGTCGATGGTTTCATTCAGTGTAATATTTGTAATTCAACATGTGTTGGCAGACAACAGTTTTATTTATTAAATCTGTATTTTTAACAAATACAATACTACGTTTGATTATATCTCGGTGTAATTGCTCTCATAATTTCACCAATCATTTTGTTGTTGAGTGGTACAGTGTTTGCGATGTTAAGAATCTGGTAAGCAAGGACACCTTGGCTTATGAATTGGGTCAGCCACTTATATATATATATATATATATATGCGCACTACTAGATTAGGATCTACACGATTATCTTATCTAATTGCTAGAGATGTTGGATGAGATGTCTCGGAAGCGATCGAAATAGTGCAAATACACTTACTCTTCGTTTCTCCCTAGATCCTAAGGTCGAAAAATATTTTATGTTTTTTGACTCCACGAATTCCTCCCGAATCACATTGTCAATACATAGTCTTTCTTATGCCTCCAAATGCCCTGGTACGGTCGTGAGTGTGAAGAGTTCGCTCTCCTCGAAATTCTCTCATTTGACCACTTCCTTCTCGCAGCGGGGGTATTGTTTACAAAATTGGAAGGACGAAAAGAGAATGTCCGGCACTTAAACCGGGTTGGTGGGCACGGAGATCCACCTAGGTGGGTTGGAAAACTCTGATTCCAAACCAGTGATGCGCATTGGCTTTAGGATCCCCAGGGAACAAGTGAAGTGGCAACCTATTCTTGGTCATCGGCCGCCATAGAACCTGGTCTCCTGACGTTGCCCGACTGCATCGTGCATTAGATCTCTAAACCAAAGTCTCGAAGAGTGGATCTCTAAGGAAATCACCTGTTTCGGTTTGGACACTCGGAAAGTATTCCAGCCCACACAAAAGTTGAATGATAACTAATTTGTGTTGCGCATATTTATTTCGACCCCCCTATGTACCGATGTTTATATGTTCAAATAAGTGTAATAGGTAATCTTTTCCTACTATCACTAGTACTCTCACTGCTTTTAGTGCCCTTATACTTATGTCGATGATTTCGTCTTATTGTGCTTGCTATGTTGTGACAACTGAAAGGGACTCATATGTGGTAGTGTCTTAATAGAGAATGTTTTAACTGAAGGTTATTAATTTAGTACTCTAATCGTATTCATTTTTCGATTGTCACGATTGTATGATTATAGGAGATTTTGTTTGACTTCCTTTGGGTATATTTCAATATGCTGTATCTACATTCTAAGTTTCAGCGTGTCACTCCCGTTGTCCTAGGCATTGCAGAACGTATTTAACAAAATAAGTGTGATTTTACCGTTGATTTGATAAAATTAACATGCTTTAAAATACCGAAATCCTCAGTAGGAAATGCAATTGTCTTCCTACATGTCAACTATTCCAACATCATTTTGTGTCGTGTGAAATAGAATTTCAATTTGCTAGCATAGTTCATAAGACCACCGAAAATTCATCAATGTGCCATCCACTCCAATGTGTTCTGGAACTTTTCTCGGTTTTACATTATAACTTAACCAATGATATGAAACGTTATATTCCGTTATAACGCAGCTGTTTGTGTTTTTGTGGTTGTCCGCAAATGATTGATCTCAATAGAATAAAAAACAATCTGTCTTCGGTATATATGTTGCATTTAAGGGTAGTTTTGTAACTGAGTCTTAGTGTTGTGCATACTTGATTCTCAACTACCAATTTGTAAGTAGTAATATGTCGCGATTTTCTCGCACGATATATGGTGAGTTGTGAACTAGTTAATCATTAATAAATATTATTTTAAAATTATCAACTACTGGGTTAATTTCATTGGGTTCATTTTTCTGAAAGCTTACTTGTCTTAAGTACGTAGTTGTAGTGCTAATAAATCGCGTTGGGAAGTATGGATGCACACACATCAACTTGTAAGTCACCCTTTGTACTAATGTCCAAGGTACTGACTAGTCAGTTGTAAGAAATATGGTAAATGTGAGTGGTGGTTAAAAAGCTCTGATCGAACATTTGAAAGGGAATCGCCTAACCTACAGCTCCATTCGGTCGGACCTTATAAATCCTTTAACTAGAAGTATCATTGATCGCCAGCGCAGACTATTTGCAGATATTTATGTAGTATTCATGTTCAGTGTTTCGAAGTTAGGTAGGTCTAGCATGTAGTCTTCAATTTACTCTAATCTGACTAGGAAGGATCGTAGAGACTAGACGTCATTTACTACTCATTTTGTCAAGTTGTAGTTCTCTCAAAACAAATAAAACAATATCAGTGAAGAACGAGATCTCATAGTCCTATGCCATGGTAGGCCACGTTTGTGCACATCAAGTATTCCGTTAATACTAATGGAAATAAATGTATATTTTCCATGTTGATATGTGGTTGAAAAGTAATTTTCCACTATTTACTTCATAGTCATCATGAGTTGCCTTTTTAATGAAAAAGCATTCTCAAAAGCCCTCATAAGTTTTGAAAACTTTACAACGGTACCTTAGTTTTTAAGAGACCTGATTTTCCATTTCTCTTCATCACATTCATTCCGCATCCTAAACATTTCAGGTTTTCAGAAATGCCTACAAACAATTATGTTGAGTGCAGTTTTTGGAATTTCGATAGTCTTTTTCAACCACAACAACATCCTGCTCGAGATTGTCATGATACATTTTTCCTTTCAGGTAAATTATTAGCCTGCTATGGGCTTTTTGCGTCGAATGATTTAGTCTTTTTGTGTCTATGTGAATATCTTCTGTAGGATGGTTGGTCTGTTTGTTCGTTGGGCAGTACTGTTTTTATATTCTAATTATTGACAAAAGTCCATTGTCAAAGTGAATTCAATTAGTGCTAGTCATCTTCCAACAATATCGAGTTAGGCAAAATGTTTGTCGGTCTATCTGACCACACTTTTCATAATCACAGAGGATAAAGAGAAAATGTGCCGAAGTAACAATGTGAATGATAGTGGCAGAGATACAGAAAAGTTATAGATCAAAAGGAACAATTGAAATTGGGACATGGAACGTACAATATGGTAATAATAACAATGATAATAATAATAATAGTAAAAATAATAATTATAATTTGGCGAGTGATACTACCACTGGAAATGTTAACATACATCATCTAAGTTTCTTAAGCCGTAAATTCACAGTTATTTCAACCTGCAAAGCGATGTTAATGCTTTGAGTTGTTTTGTGTGAGAGTTTTTGTTCGGTGTAATTAGTGACCAAATTTTACATTTTGTATAGAGCTTTTTATTACATGTCTGTTACATGCTACTTATCTAATTAAGGGCTACTTCGCATTCAGCACCCGGTTTCACGTGAATATTTCATATGAATCTGTTACTTCCTATGATTGTTACTTTTGGAACTTGTACTTAGTATATTTGTCATTCAAAACATTAGGTTGTTTGTCAACTGGATGTTCTTTGCAATAATGACTAATACAGTAGTTATTCATCGTCTCTGATGCACAACTCATGAAAATTGCAATTTCCATTGTAAGGATAATTGAAATGTATCTGTACGCAAGTTTTAACGACACTCATCCCTCCTTGTTCTGATTTAAATGGACTTCAAGTGTTTGAACTCATTACCTGACAGTTTCTAAACTGTCGGAAGCCTTGTGAGATATAATTGCATCATATTCGTCTTGGGTCTCTACTTGACAAAGATATTTAGCTTAGTAGACAGTTCCCCCATTTATTTATTCACTCAGTTATGTAATGTGTTTGATGTTATGTATTAATCTGTTAATTTTACTGACCAACATCATTAAAAGTTTGATCTAAAATGAACGATATTTTTCGAAAGACGATGATTGACCAACTGGTATGCCAGTGTTTCGAGGAATACCACTAACAAGTTAAGTATGTGCTCATATGTAACCGATTAACTAGAGTATGATTGTTGTTGTTTATTGTCAACAGTGACTGGTACTTTGCTATTAGAACTAAATACACCAGTTGGAATGGAATATGAAACTTAATTTGAGATGCTGTTGCGGTTGGTCTTTGTTTATGTTTCTTTTTCTACGACAGTTCAATGGATTACTTGTTTGGTTTTAGTTTGCTGGTGTTCTCGCCGAACTTGTAACCGACTGGCAATTACTAATTGAAGCTCCAAACTAACGTCATTTATGTTTTATAATGACCAGCATACTATATGGAAAATGCGATTATTTAAAATTTGTGTTGTTGTATTGTAAATTCTGAAATCAATTGCGACTTGATTATAGCTTCATTTCTATTGTCTTCATGGGCCATAATTACTATATTTTCATCTGTAGATCCTGAGATTTCAGATATCAACAATACAGTTGAATCTTGTTACATTGATAAAGTTCGTACTGTACATAGTCAAGGTGCTTTTGGTAGTCGAGGCTATCAGTCACCATGGCTAATAGAGGAAGCGGAGAAAAATTTGTTGCGTACACATACAACAGCAGTGAGCGCCCGAATGCTTCATGCATTATCTAAAAAGGTAGGTGAGATCTTTCTACAGTGAGAATAATTAGGCTTATTTTTTGAAGAATGAAGACCGATTCTGTTCAAATATTAAGCATCTGATGTTGTTGTTTTGGCGATTTACTAATAGTTGAATATCACATTATATGGTTTAACCTGAACAAAACTACTGTTGCTCAGAATATTCCATGTCAATCAGGCTAATGGGATCTTGTGGAGTGTTTATACTTCTGATTTAACAAGAAGAATGACGTTGGATGAGTTCCAAAATACTGATTACTATAAATAATTACCTGACCTCAGTTGGTCTGATATATTCATATGGTGAGTCATTGGCGAAGAGATTTAATACCTCACTAGTGAATATGAAATAATTGATATTTCATTGGCTATAGGTATCGTTGGTGACCTAGGAACTAAGAATAATAATTGTCATACCAAAGCACGGGTATGTGGATCACCAACGTAGATGACCTATGTCAAGTGATCGGAGGCCTACTCGAGTTAGACGGGAATGGAGTGACGAACCAGCTAATGTCGAAATCACACCTCGTGGTCAGCACCCTACGTGGACTACCCCATTGACGTATCAATGTACCACAGATGCTTTGAAGACTGTACAACACAGAGGACGTTATTACAGAAATATATTAATTAAAGTGAATACACGCGAAAGTAAAACCACTGCCACATGGGCCAGTCCATAGCGTACGATTAACTGATACCTGTTGGTTTTCCTTGACCTTGACGAGGATCGATGACTTGTTTGATATCCAATGACCCAACTGCCGGATGATTTGGCTAGGGCTCAATGGAATTTCACTGATCCTACATGTAATTCAGTGTGTAAATAGTGTTGAATCGAAGGAGCAAGTATTATCGCGTTGAATTGAAAAGGTGATAAAACAAAAGTTAGGTTGCAATAGTATTAGTACGCTTAAATAAAAAATATTCAACTTCTCTAAGAGTACGAAAGAGGTAATGTAGAATTTTTAAGAGTAACCTGTCTGTGCAACCTAGATATCGTATTGGAATGATGAACCGATCTAAGTTAGACCACCATTGGAAAACTGGAATTACGATGTCCGTTCAACCCTAGTATGAGACGCCTCAGGAGCGTGCATCCACGGTCACATATACGGGAAAGTGACCTAGGACCTTCGGGTGGTTCGCAAGTTCAATGGATTTCAAGAGTCTCGTCTACCCCATACTGAAAATTATCATGTGGTTACTGGTGACTAGCTTTGAAAAAAACATTTCAAAGTTCTGGTGAAAAGCCGTGCCCAGTGTAGCCAAACCGTGTTGGGTGTGAGGGAGTTGCCGACTGAAGACAATAGAAGGTGGTCACACGATATTGTGGATTGATTGAAGTTAGACATTAACGTCGTTGGATGCCGACTCAGTGGTCTAGTGGATAAGCGCTTGCGCGTGAGACCAAAGTTCTTGGATTCGGTTCTTGCGTGCGTTCCATACTAAGACGAATCAACCTTCTAATGGTAGTCTAACTGATAATCAGTTCATGATTTCAATGAAATTCAACTGTCTTCACAACCCTATATCGATAATCTAGATGTTTTGAGAACTTGTACTCCGAAAACGAAAAATCAGTTATATACGTACACTTGAATCACTGTCTTTCTTCTGTCCGTTCATAGTGAATGTATAATAGCTAATGTCATCAAGTTGACCATTTCCTTCTTTAAAAGTGTTATATCATGTAAAGCTGATAACGTCTTATGAAGATCCATATTCCTCAATCTGTCTTAGCGTATTTTATTTTAAAGTTTCACAATATACTGAAGTACTTGTATTTCTTACTTCTCTTATTAGACTGTAAATTTTTGCAATTTACTGTTCATTGATGAGTTCACTTTGCGATCAGTCTGCAGTTCACTTGTAAAGTATGGTGTTAATTATTAGGGGCAATATCAAGTGTGCCTTTTTAGTCTTTGTGATTAGTTAATTACGGTTCCATTTCTGAAAAAAATATTCAAGTCCTCATAAATGATCATTTCAAAATCCATTTTCAGTAACAAACACGTTTTTGTTGTCTACAGTAATCTTGCATAGATAGTTGTCTGATCATGACTACTACTCATTTTAACCACAGTGTTCAAGACAGTGATATATTGTTACTCTTTAGAGGGTTATTATAGAAATTTGGTCCAATTTTACAGTACATGTATATTGAGTGCAGTTGAAACCAGTGTATTTGCCAATTCTCGCTAAGTCTTGAAATACTGACCAACTCTTTATTAGAGAAATTGATTCTTCATGTAACATGGAAACTGTTACCCTGACAATGTGATTGTTCACTTGTTAAACTTCCAACCATTAGTTTGGCATGACTACCTGGTTGAATTCTTGTTCCCCAGTTAATGAGCTTTTAACCTTACAACGAACCATAACGAGAAACAAACATGATATATATGGTTTATTTTACTATCGTATTGTCTCTATGTGTTATGTTTGTAGAATCCATTTACTCCAGCTAAATATTACAGTATTGATCGTGTATTTCGAAATGAAAATCTGGACGCTACTCATTTGGCAGAATTTCATCAAGTTGAAGGTCTAGTCGCTGACTTTGGTCTTAGCTTAGGCCATTTGAAAACTGTAATTCGAACTTTCTTTTCAAAGTTAGGACTTACGCAACTGAGATTTAAACCAGCATATAATCCATATACTGAACCGAGTATGGAAATTTTTAGTTATCATCCTGGTGAGTAAATAATCAAGAATGCTTTTGTGCGTCATTCGTATTAATTTGCTTATTTATTTGTTCCTTTTTACATTAACCTAGGTTTCCTATTCATTGGTCTAGTGTGACTTTTTTGGTACATTGCGGATTAAGTGTTCAATATCTGTGGGATGGGCTACAGGAAAGCCCGTAGCATTCTTGTTTTAACGGTCTCCTAATCATTAGTGTTTTTTAGGAAGTGGTTGCAACCTAAATATAACACGAATTTTTCAGGACTGTGAACATGTTTTAATGACTACTAGCAAGTCCAAAGCCTTGTTTCATATTTACGTCCAACCGGCACCCAACATTGCGACTGTATAAGCTATTGTGAATAAAGTATAGTTTCGATCCATGACTCAACTTGAAAAAACCACTATCCATTGTTGTGACAAACTACATTTTCTAGTTCGTTTATGGTAGATTTTTGGGGCTTTTTTCCACTAATCTGGAGATTTAGTATTCAACTAGTAAGTCACAGTTGAGAACTCCACCCCACTTTACAATAATCTACTTAGTACTACAAACCATCATAATACTTATGGTCTAACGTCTCATATACCAATATTTGCATTCTACTGTTTCTCCGAATTTAAATTTCAGGTCTCAAGAAGTGGGTAGAAATAGGTAATTCTGGACTATTTCGTCCGGAAATGCTTAGACCAATGGGGTTACCTGAAGGATTGTCTGTTATAGCTTGGGGATTGTCTCTGGAACGGTGAGCTAGTTTTGAATTTGCTCTTTTTTATAACACCTATTTCCAGATCATTTTTTATTTCACTGCTGTATCGTAGGTCATGACGTAATAGTAATTTTATTTACCCTGTTAGTGAAGACGTGTTACCTTTGTCTATACAAAATTTAGGGAATAATATAACACACTTGCACTTATTGTGAGGGTAACTAATATAACCATTTTGTCCAGACGAAATGAACAACGTTCTCTCTAAAGGGTTAAAATTCACAAATAAAGATTATTCTGATAAGACAGTCATACACTCAACCACCCATGACCATAGTGACGTAAAAACTTCTGTAAGGGTGAGTTAGATCGCTATAAGCAGCTAGCTTTCTACGTGCAAAATTGATCGCATTTGACAAACCTTTAAAAGCATTTTCACAGCTATCCAAATATGAATCGACGTTTCAGCTATTTGTAGCAGCGTCTATCAGTCTCATTGAAGTTCTTAACGCTTTTATGGAGAAGAAAAGTACATTCGTTACTTTCGAACACCGATAACCACCTGACTGTTGTTTAAGTAATCTGTCCTATCGACAAAATGTTCTTCCCTAAGTATCGAAAAAATTCACATCACATATTTGTACTTCATATCTTGTTGATGGTAAAATGAAAGAGGAGTTCTGTGACTGACCGACCCTTTCCTACTATTTTATTGACTTAAAACATGACTTCTTGTAATATAACCACCTTTGTCCTCCAGAAAATTAATAGTTAGTTCTAAATCCAGTTACGCTTAATATTTAATTGGGATACTTGTCTTGCTGTGATCTTAATAGATGACCTGAATTTCAACCATTAGGCCTCAGGTCCTAACGTTGTTTTTCTAGTGCGACGACTGCAGTAAGATCAGATCCCTTTTAACCACATTCGTAACGTGGTTTCTCGATGGGCAGATTCAATTTAGTGTACGTTTGTCTGAGACACAGCTCATAACAATAACAAGATTTCTTAAACATGTCGTTCGGTGTGCACCTAGGTGTCTAGGTACGAGTATTAAGCTTAAACGGCACCTGTACCTTAAATTCAAGTAACAATGTGTCGAATTCTGATACGACTTTCAAAAATCAACAATTTGAGTAAGTTCGAATTTCTCAAAAAAACTGAATAAAATTTCAACCATGATACAAGGTTGTTGTTGAGTTACATAAACATTGAAAGTGTAAATAAAAAAGATTATAAATCACATAAAAACAAAAATATACTTATTATTAAAATGGCACACAAATGTGAAGTGGTATAAAATAGAATTCGCTGTGAACAAAGTAACTCAAGTTGATGAGCTCCAGTCTGTAAGGTGAATGATTCATTTTCTTCATTTGTATTTTTATAGTTGATGCCATGCCTATGATATACTGCTGAATACCTAGAGTAAAGTAGGTAATTTTCTTTGATAATATGTCGAACGATTAGTCTGGAGGATCTAGTTCATAATACTACGGTAAAGCAATATCAGGAAATGCATTTCCAAGTTTGTTCATTTACACCTTTTCATCCCACTCTTGTTGACACGCCTAGTTTTTATGAGGGTAATAAGTATTACTTCCACATAAAATAATATAAATGAATAACTGTATAAGACAGTTTACATATGAAAGGTGGACTCACTTCACTGTCGACCGTACCAAGGTAATTTGTGAGCGAGAATCACACTTAAGATAACCCACCAATTATGTCAAAAATGTTAGTATATATTGTGCTGATGAGTACAACGAAAATGAGAGGACGAAAAGCGAATGTCCGGCGCTATAACCGGATTCCAAACCAATGGTGCACATGGGCACCAGTATCCTGCGGGAACAAATGGCGTATGAACCAATTTTCGGTCACCGGCTACCATGGGACTGCATCTCCTTACGATGCTCCACTGCCTTGTGGGTTAGACCTTTAGGTCAAAGGCTCGGGGTGTGGCCCCCTAAGATAACCACCTGCTTCGGTCTGGGCACCAGGGCAGTAACGCAGCCCACACGCAATTAATGAACTGAAATTGTGTGGCGCATATATGTTTGGCGCACTCTTGTACCAATATATACGTGTTCAAATAAATAAATAAATGACATTCAACCGATTGTCTTCAATTAACTGATTAATTTCCTTTATATCGTCTTTACTACGTTCATGTTAGTCTTCCATCATCGTTAATTTTGTTTTGTTACAAAATATATCACATTCTACCCTCACAAACCTTTTCATGTGGTTCTGTATTGTGTTTTTTACCACTCTGTTTTTGTTACTTAGTCCAACTATGATTCGATATGGTTATAAAAATATTCGTGATTTAATTGGTCCAAAAATTGATCTTAATATGATATACAAGGCACCATTGTGTCGAATGTATAAGTGTTAGCGCCTGGTCTCATGCTATTTCATATCGGTAAGTTGTTTGTGGAAATGCTAATAAATGATTCAGCCACTCAAAAGATGTCACGAATAACCTTTACCGATTTATATCTAAACGTCTGCAACTCATAAACATAACTATAAGTAACTGATCACTAACTATAATAATACCACAAAATAATTGTTTTGTAATAATATTAGGTAGTTCGTTTGAAACACAACTAAACTTCTCATTTTCCTTTACTTATTTCATCCAAACATCAGCAATCTGTGGAGTCAACTGAGTTAAGAGTAAAGCCAGGTGTACACCGCTTACACTCGGAGGTGATTACTCCGTCTCGCTAATTAACTAAAGTAGGAAACTGTTACTCAATGAATCCCCAAACCAGATCAGAAACTGTTCTTTATGTCCAGATTTTAAATGAACTGTAGTGATGAAGTCAGTTGGTGTTGCGAACTATTTTCGAGCTTATTACGTCTCTGTAGAAAGTTGATTTAATAATATGATAATTACTAGGTAATATTAAACAAAATTTCGATGAGCATTAATATTAACCAAGTGCACGTTCGCATCATTTTGAAGCGTTTAGCGTTTCTCAAAGAGTGCACAAGTGTTTTTTGAAGATATGTAATTCGACATGTCTTATTTTACTACAGACTAATTATCAAGTCGTTCATTTCGGTAGCCAGTATTTTTATGTTCAACCTGCTTGTTGTTTCTCATCACTCCAGTGAATGTTTTGGCCATACATTAGAAGCGTACTAATAAATAATCAATAGTAACCTTAGTTCATAAAAATATAAAGGCATCAGAAGTTCATAACTGGATGGCCTCTAATATCATTGATATAAGTTTTTCTCATAACTTGTCAACCTGATTTACTAGCATGAGAACAGTTTCATATTATATTAATAATTTTCTACTTCTCGTGCTAATCGCGTATTGTGGTCCGTTAATTCCCTTCATAATTTCTGCAAATATGCATCACTGTATGTTGAATATATTTTAGCTAACTTTTACCACTTCAAACCGACCCCACTAAAAACACTGATTTTATCGCATCGAGTCATGAAACTCATGTATATTTGCTTATTGACATGTTTCAACTAGTTACTTTAGTTAAAGGCACGCTTTATCGTAATTGTTAGCGGCCGGCAAACAAATACATAAACCTGCAATCCAGTGATTCAGGTTTTTCTCTATTTTACCCGTAAAATCTAAGATATCTCAATTTCATGACAATTTAATGGTTAACTTCCACTAGTTTCTTATATAGAGTTGTTTTTTAGATTAATACTGACAATGATTTGTCTTGATGTTGCTTAGGTTACTGACTCAGCACAAGTTTAAACTTGCTAATATTTTGCCAGTTAATTAGTACTATTAGCTTGGACACTGTGGTCGCCAATACCAACAAGTCGTCTTTTAACTCAAGGTAATGGTGAATTCTGTCCGGGAGACTTCCTAGAATGACCAGGGAAGACTAGGCTCAGTGAACAGCCACTGCATCAGAAAACCCTTGAAGTCGTAGCAAAATACATTATAAAAGTAACAGTCTAACTAGGGTAGCGTCTACAGCTGAGACGAGATTAGAAGACTTGACGTGATGAAATTTGGCGGCAAAACAAAGAAGTTTTGGAAACGTGGCATTTTCTGGTTATTTTTAACCGCTTCAGCACTTTTTGCACTATGTATGAAGATCACGCGTAGTGCATAAGTTTGTGAAGTTGTGACGTACTGGTATAACTGGTGGACTTCCAACTGGTGTTAAGTGTTTTAATCATGACTGGCCTACAGACACATTACTCAACTTTATTTATTTATTCATTTTAACGCATAGATATTGGTACACGGAGGCACCAAATACATATGTACCACACAAATCTCATTTGATATATGTGGGGGATGTGATACTGCCCGGGTGCCAAAACTTGAACAGGTGGTTTTCTTAGTTAGTCACACCCGGAGCCTTCGACCTAAAGGTCTAATCCACAAGGCAGTGGGGCATCGTAAGGAGATGCAGTCCCATGGTAGCTGGTGACCAAAGATTGGTTCATACACCATTTGTTCCTTCAGGATACTGGAGCCCATATGCACCATTGGTCTGGAACCAGGGTTTCCCAACTCCCGTAGGTGGACTCTCCATCTCCACCAACCCGGTTAAACCGCCGGACATTCACTTTTCATCCTCTCAATTTCGTAAACAACACTCGTGGTGCGAGAAGACAGTGAGTAAGACTTCCTTGGGAATGATTGTATGCATATGGCTTCCCCGGCAGAGGCTGTATACGCGTAGCCATGTGAGAGCATTCCGAGAGGGAGAGCGGACTCCCCACTCTCGGCCGTACTAGGGCATTTGGGGGCATTGCACAGCTTTTTTGTTACAAACTTCATCCCCTCATTTGTATTATTATCTCCAAACCTTCCATACTGATCTAAGGGGGGGTTTTCTGTATATAATAAAGATGACAACCCAAGAGTGCTTGATCTTACATGTAGGGGACATCAGACTTACTCGTACTAGGGAACTACACTCGCCTTATACTTTGAGTCAAGGTTTCTTTTAGTAGAAACAGCCTCACTGCCTTTGGTGAGTGATCTCCATGGACAAGTAATCCGTATCCGGTATTAGCAGTATCCGACCACTCTTTCACAAACTCACAAAGGTCCTTAAGTAAAGGTTCTCTATCCATTTTAAAAATTTGACAGACTATTTTCGCCCATTTTCTTTGTAAGTGTAGTGAGAGTTTCAAAAACATTCTTGATAGTCTTTGTGGAATACATAGTTCATCTATGTGAGTGTTCACAAATCTGCATCTCACGAGACAGTCTTCTTAAATTATATGGAACAGTCTATTTAATTGCAGGGATGTTCGGCATCTTATCAATAAATTAACGGGCTACGATGTGCTTCTGACCGAATGATTCTTTGAGAGACTCTAATGTCTTGGGACAGCCTTCTGGTTCAAGCAAGACACAGTGAACAATAGTAGCCTTGGCTTCATCATCACCATACTGAATCAAATAGTTTAACCTAGATTGGCATCCAACGTTTTCATTGAAGCAGTCTTCGAAATTCTATATGAAACTAAAATAGTCCATGGGATTACCATCAAACTTTATGATCTTTCTTTGGTAGGTCTGAAGTTTTAGATATCATTGTCTTTTCCAGTAGGGAGATTAACTCCACGTGAGGCAGTTGTAGACTCGTACGGCATCACCTTGTCAGCCATAACTTGACTATAATGTTCTCTTCCTCTTTGACGTAACCTATCCAGCTCAATTTCTTTTCTGTCTGAGTTAAGCGTACTTTAGCTAATTCTAACTCTAACGAGGAAGCCATTCGGTAGCCATCTCCTTCAAACTGGTCATCACTATGAGTTTTTAGATAGTGGTGAGACAGTTCAGGAATCTGATCAGCCTTATGATTCTTCTCCGTCGACATTTAACAGCACTCAAGGTATGAATTTCTGATGAGATAATGGTCGGAGCTTTGTAGGATTTAATTAGTCCTACAAGTACTCTACCGGTACTGTAAACGCGAAACTAACGATCCAGAATCTATGTGAAAGCTATAGTCAGAACAAAGACAACTTGGCTTTAAACTTGATCTGTTCTAAACGTAAAAGTAACAATTTGATTAATACAATAATCAAAGGAATTATAGTCGTTAAGTGAAACGCTCAAAACTTTCGACGAGTATTGCGTGTCTGATCGAAACGAATAAAAAATATGAGTTGCAGTCACACAGATATGATAGAACAATGGTATCCTTTAATCGGTAGGTCATATGCAACAGGAATAGTCTACAGGCACACCAGATCAGGTTGACGTGCTAGGTAGTAGCAACTTAATTGGTTCGTTATAGACATAACTAACATCATTGATCCTGTGTTGTTGAAGCATCCAAGTTTAATGTTTACGGATTCTTTTGTTACGAATAATGTAAATAAGAAATTACTCCCAGTTCATTAAAATTTACAAAGTAAACAATTTGTTTCTGTTAAGCAATAAGCTATATATATAGTAACTCGAGCTAAAATTTTATTCCGAACACCTTGTCACCATTCCTAAATGACTACTCCCCTTGGTTGCACTGTTACTACATCTTCCAGTTAATTGGTTAAGTTGTTCGACTCACTGAACTGTGATGTTAAATAAAATAGGTCTCACATGGATGCAACAGGTAACAATTCCATATAAAAAATATGAAAACTTTCATTTTTCACTATATTGAAAGTAAATCGGTCAGATATAAGTGCTTCTATTGTTTACATTAGTTGTATTGTCTTAATTTTCCCTTATGTTTTCTCTATTTTAGAGTCTTATTCCATTGTGATTTAATTTTTGGCATCTGTTGTTTTTGCAAACTTTTGGAAGATATTTTGCATATGTCTGTAAATGTACTTTGCTGTACGTACTATTGAATATCCTTGATAAGATTATAGAAAGCCAATTATTTCTAACTTGAAAGTTTGCTTGTCTGCTTTGTAATTTCAACCGTTATGATGTAACATTTGTATCTTGAGTCAATGACTTACTAGTGTAAACGGTCGATAGGTTCAGACCCAACTCCACCTTACACATTAATCTGAGCACCAAAATATTATCTTTGCAATTCTCGTACATCTTAGTACATGAACCATGTAGATAGTTATTTTAGGCTACATGTACGTGCGTCGACAACCTATTAATGGTGTATTTGACCACTACCTAAACTCTTTTTCAAGCTCTATCATGATTATCATTATCACAAAATATCGGTGTCTTCCAGTACTGATAAATTCTATAGGTAGTTAGATTATTAGTTGAGTTTTCTAATCACTTGTCGGAACCAAGTGGGTCGTGTTAGGTTCCATCATATTTAAGAAGTCGATTGTTTGCGTAAAATGTTTTGAAGGTACTTAGTCAGGAAAACTTTTGATTTTTCTGTCTTACTGCATTCTATAATCTCTTACTTTTGTGTCAGTGTTAACTAACATCTGGGATATTCCACTGTATGTTCGTTCAGTCAGGCTAATTGGTTATTATAACCATGCAATAATATGTCGATCGTGTTGTTGCTTTCTATTGTACTCTAATCGCCCGATAATTTCCTAGTTGTTCGATATCAGATGAATTCGCGTAACCTGGTTTATAGTTTCTAGCGCAGGAAATTACTGTAGATTGTCAGATCGTCTGAACTATAGTGTTAAAATAACAATAAAATCGGTCATGACCAACTTCGGTCCGGGAATGGGTGTGTAATGTCACAGGTTTGGGAACAACAAAGTTGTTGCGGTGAAATATGGAAGGGGTTAGATGCATCTGGATTATTGTGGCTGGTTCTTAGCTATGTCACTCATAGGCTTTAACCGCCAGTCATGGTTATCTCGACCTTTTTAGGTAGTGTGCGTCTACCAACAAACCAAATCCATAAAAGCTAAGTACGTCATGGACTCATGCCAAGCATGTTTATCCACCTGTTTTCCCAATTCATACCAGCAAACATTCTCTCGATATAGATCACTATTAGGCATGGTAAATAAGTGCTACAAACCATCCCTGTCAATAAAAAATTCACCGAATTGGCATCTTTTTCTATAACGAGGTGTTCATTTTAATATTTTTCATTTAGTCGTTAAACCACGCCAGAGTAGCAGTTCAAAAACCTGCATGTTTTCGTAAATGGTGTTTCGCAGCATTAGTGTAGACATTTATTGTTATTCATGTCCAAACTTTAGATGCTGCATTGAAGTGGTGGTCGGATTTCCTTCTCACAATGCTTCAAACGTCCTATGTTGACTGGGACGCATGTTCCTTTAAGTTCTATCATACCGGTTAGGTCGGTCGAATAACGGTAAAACTTAGAGAAGTAAGGTACTGTCCGAGTGGGAAGTACTGCCAATTGCGGAGGTTTGTGGTTAATGTATGGTTTTCCCCTTGGACAACAGCACAAGCACCGATGCTGCGTTCTCACAATGAAGTAAGGGTTTACAAAACGTCGACGCGAAAAATGTCAAATCTTGACTTACTCCACAGACTTTCGGCCGTAAAGATTTTGGAAGTGTGGAGTTAACACATTGAAACTTCCGGTAGATAAGCCATTATCAACTGGCCTTAAGCAGTTGTCTGTTGGGTTGTGTGGACAACATCAGGTCACTGAGACCTTCATGACTTCGGTTTATCTTTCAGATCCTGCAAGTAGAAGCGTCTTCACATAGTGTGCGTGTCCTGGGGATGGCATCCACCTTCGTGCCTCTAGTAGCATCCATGATCATCTTGATCACAATCAAATCCATCCTTCACCTCCTAATAATTCTATCCTCACAGTCGGCTATTCTCGTTTATCTTTATCACCACGCGCCACCAATGCTTATGATTTAAGTTCAAGAAAGGTTATTCTTGGTCTCCTAAAACCACCTCCGGTACTACAGGTTGGAAAAAGGATACGCCGGCAAAATACTAAGGAAAATAGGTCCCTTGACATTGCATTTATTGTTGGATGAATGAACTCAGACCCATAAATCAACTTCGGTCGTCAGAATGTGTTCGATATACTAAGGAGACTGCTTCATCGAGACGATGGAGTACCTGAGAAGATAGTCACTTTTGTACGGAACGACTACGAAAAAACTGCGTTGCGAAGTCGTGTGTTGAGGGCCAGCTCACAGATGCGTACTAAGTGAAGACTGGTAGTAAACAAGAGTGTTTGTTGTCACCCTTTCATTTTCTGTCAGCCCTCAATTAGAATATGAGTGTCTCCTCATCTCAGGAAAGGTACAGTGGAAACCTTGAACGCGTTTGTGCGACTTGAAATTTTAGAGTGATTTGTCTGTACGTCATGAGCCCATGCTGAGTATGTTCGTCTGCCTGTTTCGCCAACTATTATACTAGCTAACGTTTTCTGTCGATGTGGCTGATCGCTGAATATATATTATTTGATTGTCTGAGCATATGGTTGAATAATTAGTAGTCCTCTATATATTTCTGTCAGTTATATGTATCAGGATGCAAACCGTAGGTTTAAGCGTTATTCCATAGACCATGATGTCCTTTGTTTCTACTCGTTGTTTCGCTGCTTTTTACGCCTACATTTCTCGTCATATGTTGCACATTGATTGATAGTTCAAAAAGATTTTTGTTTGGTCGGAATTTTTGCAAAAGACGCTCAATGTAATTAAATCTCTGTTCACCTGTATTGTCTATATCCATCTTTTTACCAGTTGTACTATATATTTGTTCAACCCAAGCCTTGATTTCGTTTGCCCTTAGTTTTGCCTGTGAACATTTTATTTTTATGCTGCATCTGATATTGTGCTTGGTATTTTTCTCTCAGTACACCTGGTCATTCAGCGTTTGCTTTAACATTTATTGTTATGAATATTTTGTTATTCGATATATCCGATTTTCGTAGCATACACTCAAGAATTTACAAATTCAACTGATTATAAATCGTGCATCATTTTGATCTGATTAGTTGGAATCCATATAACATAAACAGATTTAGTCGGTTTTCGAAAATCATATATATCTTAATTTTACCCTAATAATTGCTTCAGACAGTTCACATGTCTCATAGCATAAATTTTTTAACTTAAAATAATGAAACAGCCATACTCTTAATTTTCATCACAAATGACTGAACTTTGGCTGAGGCGTGCGAACATTCATTCACATTGAGTTTGTAATTACGTTACTGGGTCCAAGCTAAGTCGCGAGCTGGGACGGTCAAAAGTACCGTTGAAATTTCACGTGCCTTTCATTTCCCGTCTTTGCATAACATATACTTGTTTCAACTACCTCCTCTATTCTAAACTTATATATGTGTTCTTCCTCAATTTTCTCACGACCTACTTTTTAGTTTATTGAGTAGCATACACAGTGAAGGCATTGTCGTCAATACTTACACAATAACCTTAAGAATGACTAGTGGGGTAAGGGTAATTTCGTGAAACGTGACGAGCCATAAAATCTTATCTAATAACAACGTTATGAGTAAATCAACAACTACACTAGATAGTCGGCTTTGATATGCTGTGTACAGCTCGGTCTACTTGACACAATCACCAATACCTAGTCTCCAACTAGACACTGAGGACCACACCACAACATAGATTCTCAGTCCTAGAACGACAGTTAAGAAAAAGATTAGGAGAAGACATTTTTTATTCAGTGATGCAACTTACTCAAGAGAAAAGACAACCATGTATACTGCATTGTATGTTTGTCTCTATTTAAAACAGGGAAGGCAGAATCAAGATGCATTTTTTCTAGTATCTGAGTCTGCCGTTGGTTTGAAACTGCAGTACCTAAATAATACTACCGACTTAAGATACACCTGCCCACGGTTCTGGTACAGAAACAATACACGAAGCGAACTGGGGAAAGCGACGTACTCATCACTGTACTCGATCCATCCAACACAGCCCAAAATCCACACGAATATCTTAGGGACATCAACCTAGGCACACAGATTTTTAGCAGTAGGTCTGGATGGTTAGGGTTCAAAAGGAAACCAGCAACATCAGAGTGTGGCTTGCTGGAAGATAGGACTGACTTTGATCAGGAAAAGTGGAGGCAGATATTGTGTGATGCCAGATTGGCACCCCTACAAATCGTGGATTCTATATTGTAGACAAAAGTCGTCCACAAGTTAGACATGACGGGCCGTGAGCCGTAAGAGATGTTGTTAGAAGATTGTTGATGAACCCTTAAGGACCAACGCTCACAATGATTCGCGGGGTGATTGAGCTGGTGAGTGATATTGTTGACGAAGCCTACGGAGATTATATGCAATAGGGGCGTTGGCTATTACGTATCATTGACCCTCATACTAATTAGATAATTAGTGCTTCTTGACTTCCTCGTCCGTAAAGCCTAACGACCATTAAACTTGATAGCCGTAATACTCAAAACCGAGAATACTAAAATGAAGCTCTCCAGGCATGCTAAACCTTGAAAAATGGCCTCTTGATCCGCAGATGATGTTGTGACGGCCGACCTAGAAAAGCCAAAAGATAAACCTCAATGTAAGTTCATCTCGATGAAGAACCCATGATATAGGAAATTAAGGTCACGGTCCATCGAATGAGAAGCAATATACAGGCAAAAATCCTTCAGGATCCCGTTCACGTAGAATTGCCGACACATTCCAGACAGCATTTTTTTCATAATCTCATAACCAGTTGAAAGACCAATAGATAAGGAGAAAAATAATCAAAGGTTTCCACAATAATATAAGGAATTAAAGGGGTAAATTAACATAAATCAGGAACGAGTGCCTTCACTTGGATATGTAGATCATAGTACTAACTGAAACATGTCTCTCATACATCGTCACTAACGAAGGATTGAGCA